AATTTTAAAAAGACATTTCAGATTTTTCGTTAAGTATGAAAAAAATTTAGCAAACCTAATTCCAAAATTTTTTGAGATCAAAGGATAAAGGTGTGATGAGTATATGAAGACTCAAAACTCAACTGTATGTTCTTTATTATCAGTAGGAACTTTACTTTCAGTATTTCTGTGTTAGCATATACCAGCTTCATAGAGATTTCTGACCAAATCAAGGAACACTGTCTTGGGTTTGTTTGGGTTATATGTCTCTCTAGTTTTGTTATTTCTTGTTGAAATTTATAAATGTGGATTTTTTTTTTTGGTGTTATATTTAATGTTTAGGATAACATCTTATTAAATTACATACAGTTCTGACAAAATTTTTTTTAAAGATAAATCATGACAATATTTTCCCCCTTATGTTTTGAATACATGGAATCACTTACGGATTTGAATTTTTGTTTCATCTTTCCTGTTCCAATGTTAACTGTGTCTCAAAACCTATTTGGTGGCTATGAAGAAGTGAACTTGCCAAAAGGCAAGTATCGTGAAAAGAGACAAAAGAAGCAAAAGGCAAATAAAATTGATAATTTCTGAGCAAAAAAAAATGAGGTTTGTGAAATAATTAGTCATGTGAACAAACGCTTACATAAGTGGAGAGGATATAGCTACACGTGGCCGAGTGCTTGAACTGTGCACGGTATGCACACACACAGGGCACTTGCTGTGGGAGAGCGTGCCAGAACCTTATTCCGAAACTGAGCATCAGCCCTCAGTCCCAGGTTTAACAAAGCCTGTGTTTTAGAGGGCAAGGGACTGTCCAATCCGGTTACGGACACTCCTGCACGGATAACATCTTTTCCTCAGATGCTTTGCTTAGGCCAGTGCACACCTTGCTCCCACTTCTCATGGCTCAGGGGAAGGCGCTGCCTCTCACAGCTACCCTGATAGGGGAACAAGAGGGCAAGAGGCAGGAGCGGGAAGCAGAGGATTTAACAGGTATTAGTATGGGATACGATGAAGCTCAATGGTCACTCTGCTGTGTCACTTCCTCTAACTTCTGGGCACTGGGGGTTGGGTGGTGTGGGTTAATAAGAGTGGAATATGAGTCATTAATACCTCCTCCTTACTTTCCTTACCTGCAAGAAAAAGGAAGTTATTGTAGGAAAGGCATAGTGGGGGAGTGGGTTGCATTCCTGAACCTTAAAAAAAAGGGAAGGTGGGGTAAAGGACTTCTATACTGATAGTTGGCCCCAATTGAAATTAGGGACTATTTTGTATTCCTTCAGAGATGGGCCTGAAATAAAAGCCACTCTGGTTAATATTTCCTCCCCATTGTTCACCCTGATTAGGGCAGCTCTTTATCTTCGGGTGTTGGGTTGCAACCTACGTGCCTTTGTATTATCTTAGAGTATAATTCAACCTTTCCCTTCCTTCATAAATTCTATGTAATTATAGGTATTCATCTGATGTGCCTATGCTAGACATGGGAATGGGACTGAGAATCAAGAAGCTGAGCAGAATATCCCTGAAGAGAAGACAAGGTCAAAAGCTGGCTTTCTCTGGTCCTGGTGAAAGGTGATGCTGACCTTGGAAGAGTCCTGTGAAATGTCCTAAAAGGAGAAGGGGTTTTTCATCTGAGTGCATGGACTCTGTGAAGGCAGGGACGAAGCCAGCTTCCCTACATGCTTGGCTCTATTTATATGGCAGTCCCTTAAAAACCAACCAAGAAAAACACTATTTTGGTAGAAGGGAGGCCTATTTTAAAGTAGATATGGTTATAAAATTCAAAGTGAGCATTCACAGAGGAATTTATTTTTGACAGTAATCTGAAGGTACAGCCAGAGTTTCTTTCCTTCAAGATTCTTCAGGATTCCTGGGAATTGATAAATAACAAAGTAACTACTGCAATAGTAAGTAATGTCTCTCAATTATATGTGAAAATAGAGTACATATATTTTTAAAAGATCTGTTGTTAAATTTAAAGTTCGTATGCTAGGAGTCTGTGTTAAGGCTTTAAATTTTTTATTTTAACAGATCTAGTAAAGATCTTTAAAATTATTTCCTTAAAAAAAATCCCAAATCTGAAACTAACAGGTTTCAAAGTATGACAGGATTAGGCTTTACACTTCCTTGATGAAGATAAACAAATTTAGCTAAATTTCTGAAAACCTAATCCTGAAACAGAAAATTCTCTATGTGACCAACACCAATTAAAAACCAAGTTCCACATATCACCTGAATGTGGTTTTAACTCAAGTGGGCTAAACAGAGTAAAATAAAATTGCACACATGCCTATGAGCAAAACCACAGATCTCTGAGCCATGGACAAGTTCTAAGAATGTGTTCAGAGGTCAGAGGTGAAGGTGAAAGCCAAGTTTGTTTTTTTGATTCAAGCCTCCCTTGAGCCCCCATTTCCATGCTTTAGCCACCTTGTTTGCTCCAGTTTTTATTCCTTGAATGCTGCATTGATAATGCTGGGGGCCAGAGAAAGCGACAGTGAAGTCGCTTGTGAGAATAGTCGCTGCTCCTAACATCACCCTGATTCTCCATTTTGCTCAGTAAGTGGGAGGCTCTACATCTCTCTTTGGATGAATGGGACTTCAGGGACTGAGAACAAATGTCAGGAGAACCACAGGCGTCAATATATAAATCAACTGTCAGCATACTAAATTTCTATTTAGTACTACAAATAGGTATATATGTACTGTCCATTTTTAAAATGTTAGAATGTGTCATGGCTAAAAAGTTTTGGTTTGTTTTCTAGGGAGAAACAAAGTGAGAATAAGAAAATAATGATTTTTTAAAAGTCCACTAAGAAGGAAAGAATAAATTACATTTAAAAAAGAGCATTAAATTCCATGCGAGGCTTACTTTTTAACTTCAAAAACTGTAGCTGACCATTCATGACCTAAAAGAAACAGCTTACCCTTGGAAACCTCCAACATAAAGGGACTCTGCCTGTCTAGTCAAGAAGCATAATGATAAATAGGCCATCATAAGTGGATTCTATCAGGATTCAGAGCACAGCTGCCAAAAGCTTTCATGCAAAACACACACCATTTATATTTAAGGTTAAGACATACATGAACAGGTATGTATACAAAATGTATATATATAGTTAAGTTGGGCAGCATTGAAAAGGGAAAGAGGGATCGTTTTGTTTCTATACTGAGGAAAACTCGTAGTGTTACAGCTTTATTTATATTGACTTAGTAATAATACTAATAAAAGCTAAGATCATTGCACTACTACTGTTACTCCCACTTTAGAGAGAGGTCTGAACAGGAGGAGGAAGTCCTGTAGTGGGGACCTGCTTCCAAAGCCTACTTTGCAGACTTGGCCATCACAGTTTCATGGGTAGGAAGCAAGGGGTTATGCATTCTGCACTGAGAATAACTGGGTGCTCCTCAAACTATTAATAGACCATATCTCCCATTTGGCTGTTGAGTTCCTTTAGCTGGGAACCCTCCAGGGGGAAGAGGGATATGCCATAAGATGTCACAGGTATCATAGTTCCATCCAATCTTACCTTCAGCCTCTAGAAGTTTCAGTTACCACAAAAAATCTGGGAAGTAGGATTAAACTCATCACATTGATGAGAAAGCAGGCTCAGAGAATTTAAGTAACCCTGTGATGGTCACACAGCCAGTACGTAACAGAACCAGGATGTGACCTCAGGTCAGACAGTATTTAAAGACCTTACTCTTTTCACTAATCACACTTAAAATAGTTTTCACATCTGTCAGACACACCTATAAAACATCTATATGAAGCTACACGGCATATAATTATGTATTGTACGTAGGTAAATTAAGAGAGCACATCTGTGAAAAAAATAACCCTCAATTTTCCTGGTTACAGCTATGAAGATTATCATTAAGTGCTTTTTAATAGACACTTGTGTAATTCAAATATTATGGTTTCCTAGAGTTAAGACTTTTAAACTTAATGATTCTAGTAACAGCTGAATACAAAGGGGGAATACTTACCTAAGTAATAGATATCTTCATCCCTTATATTCAGCAGAATTAGATAACCTTTCTAATGATACCAAAGAGCATTTCTTTTTGAAATCTTCACATGCAGGGTTTCTCAGAATACTTCACACAAATGGTTTTATCTAAGAGCTGCATTTTGTTCCATCTAAGACAAAATCATTTTAGAACTAAAAAATTTTGTCTACATCTCTATGGTTATCAGATAACATATACAAACCCTGTTTTATCAAGTTGAAAACACTGGATTATGGGCCAGCATTTAATCAATTTTGCTTTGAGCACAATGAGGTTACAGTCTGTGGGCTGGTTAGCAAGATCCCAAGGAGTGAATGGGCTTCTTTCCCAGAAGGGAGGGAAGACATTTTAGTGCCTTTCACTGAGACATCTTCCTTCTAATTCTTGGCCTTTTTGCTTTTCAGCTATGTTCTAATCCTGACACATAGTGATAATTAAAGCTATGCTGTACAGTTCCTCCCATTCTCTCCCTCAGAAAGCATTCTTAGTGGGTAGCAAACTAATTTAAAGGTGGCCTCCAGAACTCAGTTCAAGTAGTATTGTCTGTAGACTCCCACCTCCTGCCATGGCAGAGCAGGAAATCACCTAGTTTGGTGGACATCTGTCATCATAAGGGCATAAGCCTTCTGGTCTCTCTGCAGAAAAAGTGGTGATTAGAAATGTACTTTGTTTTGTTGGAAATGGGAATTCCTAGCGTATCAATTGATTGCTGGTAGCTGGCCCGGATGATGGCTTCTCTGAAATCTCTTAATTTTTGGATACCTCCATTCTGAGGTATTCTGTGTGATGATTTTTCAATAGGGACCAATCCCATAAAAAAAAAAAAATTTCTCTGAAATCAGACAAATATCTAAATCTCATTTCTCTTTCAATCTATCTAGGATTAGTTTAGGGAGTCTAAAAGTTTATATAAGTGGGAATTCATCAAATACTTACTGAGCACCAACAATGAGCAATCACTGTTCTAGGAGCTGGAATTAGAAGTAAAATACACAAACAAACCATTACAGTTTCATATACTATTTATTTAGTTATTAATATGGACAGCCTATTCAACATTACAGATGTTTTTCAAAACCTATAATAAAATACAGTCCACTATCCAGCCCAGAAGAAGACAATAAACAAGATCATTCTTACAGTAAGTGTAGCATAAGCACTCACAATAATAGTCTCTTTCCTGGACATCAAAGGGAACAAAGTTTTTTTTTTTTTTTTTTTACCTCCACTGAGGTTTTAATTTTCTTGAATTATAGCTGTTTCAGAGTCAAAAGTCCAACTTCAGTCACCCCACAGATATGTGCAGCATCTCCCATTGAAGAGGAAAGAGCTCCTGTCACCCCGGGCAGCCCATTCTACTGTCCTGCAGTCCTTCCATATTGGAGCCCATCATACCTTTCAGCCAGTATTTGTCAAACTTGTGCATGGGGACAAGATACGTAGGTTACAGGGATCTTTTGATTAATTTACAAAGATTGTGTTTCAAAGTTCTAAAAACCCATTTGGTGGTCGTAGTGGCAGTGAAGAGTACACTATATTTCGCCAACAGGGTCTTCTCATCTCTGGAGTCTTGGCGTCATCACCTTTTTCTGGTAGCTTTCAGATCTATTGCAGTTCTCTGTGGCAAGTGGAGGTGGGAAACTCTAAACAGCTACTGGTGTGAGGCCATCTGCAGAATGAACTGGATTGGCTACTATGGCTTTTATAACCTTCCTTTCTTTAGTATAGACAAACTTCTTAATCTTTTTTTCTATGTCCTGCTAGTTCTAATATAAGATTTAAAAGGACTATGACAGAGGAAACTTCTTGCTTTCAAGCTGAATGATGAAAAATAGCCAAAAAACCCAAGAACCCCACCCTCCAATGAGCTATACTCAATTTCCTCAGTTGAAAACAAATGCCAGGTGAACTTTTAAAGACAAGTGTTGGACAATGCTGATGTCAAAATGTACATAGATTCTGAAATATAGGCCAAAAAAGATGTTACTTAGTGTAACACAGATTCTTCAACCCCTTAGTTTCATGCTGAAAAGTACAAATGATTTCAATGTTAGGTTTCAATGATGACAACCAATTAAATATGAAATTAAAAAGCCTCAGGGAAGTCTTGCCAAGTTTCTGGCAGTTTCAGGAGTCTACATAGTTAGGAAGAAGGAGAAACCATAGGGTAAAGAGTGAGAGCATTGGATTTTATTTAACTCTAGGTACCACGGGTTTGACATTAGTAGGTAAGACTAATGAATGAGCAGCCATACAGTTTTTTGGTCACTGTGCTTCCCAAGCACCAAAAAATGGAGCTATTTTTACTATTCAGTTCCATCTTTAATAAGCTAGACAGATCCTGCTGCATTCTTGTTTGTTTCTAATCTACCAGTACATTATTAATTACGCAGTTTACCAAATGTGAGGAGCAAGTCATTATGTAGTACCAAGTTTACATCATCATAGGACTACAACATGCACATTCTACTTAATGTAGCTCAAGCAACAGGAATACAAGAGAACAGTTATGGGTGGAGACTTGTTTTTGACAAATTCATGTTCACACTAACTATGGGTTTAGAAATCTTATTGGGCAGGTACCTACAGCAGTTCTTCAATTGGTACTGGAACATTACACGCATGCACAAGTGATATGGAAGAAAATGAAGCAGAAGAGGCAGCTGGATGGAGGACAAAGGGGAAATCAGAGGTGGGATAATGCCATGTATCAGGGAGGGGCTGTTCTCAGCTGTCCACAGTAAGTCTCTGCTCTGTGAGAGAGGCCTGTTGGGCAACACTTTTGTTCTCATGACTGCAAAGTTTGGATACAACATCAAGAAAGGCCAAATCCTGTACTTCCTTGTGTAGAGATTCTGGAAGACAAAAAAAAAAAAAACAAGATAACAAATATGCTACTGTTCTGATTGTTCTAATCTTAATATACAATCTATCCAGTACATATACCTAAAATGTTTATCTGGATGATACCAAGTTATAAAACTAGGAACAATTCTGGAAAAACTGTAGCAGCCTAGAAATGCTAAGACACTCGTAAAGACAAGTGTTGGACACACACCAGTAGCCTAGAAATGTCTTCGTTAGAGATGTGTTATATCCCTAATAAATCAGAGGAACTTTACTTGCCATATTTATATATAGATAAATGTCAAGTTCTACAGTCTGTTTGATTAGAGTAATGAGTTATAATGGAACACAGCTCATTGTATGATCTCAAGTTTCAGTTATATACCCCTTGGCCCTATCTATCTATCATCAGTTCAAATATGAAGTCCAATGACTTACAAAAAAACTTAGCTCTGTTTCAAATTAATTTTGTGGCAAATGAAACAAACAGGTTATACTTCATATCCCTTCAACAAATTTCTGTGACAATAGGCTTCCCTTTTAGATATCTGATCTTCCTCTTTCTGGCTTTCTTGCTCTCTTTAACCTCAATTACAGGAAAATATCAGGCTCTTAAGTCTTGGAGACTGCTATATGAGAAGACTGACGTCTAATAAGTTTAATGCAATCAACATTCCTCAAACTGATATATTTACTTTAATAAGACTGTGAGGTCTAAAACTAGAAATGTTTTTAGTAGAAACAGAAAACTGCATCCTAAAATTCAGATGGAATCTCAAGAGACTCTGAACAGTCAAAACAATCTCAAAAAAGAACAAAGTTGGAGGGCTCATACTTTCCAATTTCAAAAGCTACTCTAAAGCTGTAATAATCAAAACAGTGTGGTGCTGAAATAAAGACAGATCTATAGATCAACAGACTAAAACAGAGAGCCCAGAAATAAACCCTCATATATACAGTCAAAATAGTTTTGACATTCAATAAGGACAGTTTTTCAACAAATGGTGCTGGTAAAACGGGAGAGCCATAAGCCCTTATGTACAAAAATTACATTTAAGAGCTAAAACTATAAGACTCTTAAAATATAAAGGAAAAACTCTGACATTGGATTTAGCAATTATATCTTGGATATGCATCAAAAACATAGGTAACACAAGGAAAAACAGATACATTGGACTTTATCAAAATTAGAAACTTTTGTGTACCAAAGATTACTATCAATAGATTGAAAAGGCAGCCCACAGAATGGGAGAAAATATATGTAAATTATATATCCAACAAGGGATTAATATCCCCAAAATATAAGGAACCCTTTCAACTCCACAAAATAACTCGATTAAAAAATGGGCAAAGGACTTTAGAATAGACATTCCCCAAAGAAGATATACAAGTGGGCAATGAACACATGAAAAGATCCCCTACATCACTAATCATTAGGGAAATGCAAATCAAAAGCATAGTAAGATACCACTTCATACCCATCAGGATGGCTACTATAGAAAAAAAAAATGTTAGGATGTAGAGAAATTGGAACCCATGTGCATTACTGGTAGGAATGTAATATGGCGTAGAATGTAATATGGTGTAGCTACTGTGGAAAATAGTATGGTGATTCCTCAAAAAATTAAATGTAGCCATTACTGTATGATCCAGCAATTCCACTTCTATGTATATTCCCAAAATGACTAAAAGCAGGACCTGAAAAAATACCTGTGCACCCATATTTTCACAGTGGCATTATTTACAATAGCCCAAAGGTGACAATAACCCAAATGTCCATTGATGGATGAATGGATAAACAAAATGTGATATATATATACATACAATGGGGCATTATTCAGCCTTAAGAAGGAATGAAATTCTGACACCCACTACTATTTGGATGAGCCCTGGAGACCTTATGGTAAGTGAAATAAGCCACACAAAAAAGAATATTGTATGATTCCACTTATATGAGGTACCTAAAGTAGTCAAATTCAGAGAGACAGAAGATAGAATGGTGGCTGCCAAAAGCTGGAGGGATGGGTGATTGGCATATTTTGGCATATATTCCATGGATATATACTCTTTTTAAAAAAGAGTACTGAGTTTCAGTTTGGGGGAAAAAAAGGGTGGTGATGGTTGTAGAGCAGTGTGAATGTAGTACTCTGCCATTGAACTGTACATTTAAAAATGGTTATAATGGTAAATTTTATGTATATTTTACATTAAAAAATGCCTCAATAACAGTCTCAGCCAGGAAACAGAAGACATAAAGAAGTAGCAAATGGGAATTTTAGAACTCAAAACTATAGTTAGTGGATAAGCTCAACAGCAGAATGGAGGGGACAGAAGAAATCAGTGAACTTTAAGACGGGACAATAGAAATTACCCAATTTGAACAAGAGAGGAGATAGTCTGGAAAAAAATGAACAAAACCTCAGGACCCTGTAGGATATAACTAAAGATCTCACATTCCTGCCATTAGAGACCTGAGAGGAGAAATAGGGTGGGGCTGAAAAAGTACCCAAAGAAATATGGTTACAAAAACTTTCCAAATTTAGCAGAAGACATAAGCCTACCTACTCAAGAAGGTGAGCAAACTTGAAACAGGATGAACCCAAAGAAATCCATGCTATGACACATCACAGTCAAGCTTGAAAATTAAAGACCAAAAAAAATCTTGAAGTGACACCTTACCAAGAGGGGAAAAAAAGAATTGGAAGACTGGATTTCTCTTAAGAAACCATGGGAGCCAGAAGAAAATGGCACATTTTTCAAATGTTGAAAGAAAAAGAACCGTCAACCCAAAATTCTATACCCAGAGAAACATTTTTCACAAATGAAGGGGAAGCCAAGATATTCTAAAATAACAGAAAACAATTTGTCACTAGCAGACCTAACCCAAAAGAGTGGCTAAAAGTAAGTTCTCTAAACAGAAAGGGAATGTTTAAAAAAAGGAATCTTGGAACATCAGGAAGGAAGAACCCATATAGCAAAGGTGTAGATAAATACGACAGACTTTCCTTCTCTCGAGTTTTCTGAATTATGTTAGATGGTTGAAAACAAAAATTGTAACAATGTCTAATGTGGTTCTAAATGTATATAGAGGAAATATCTGAGATCATTATAAATGAGGGAGGGTAATGGGAATAACTGCTCAAGCAATCAGTAACAAGTCAGGAACGAGAAACAAAATAAAAAATGAAACTGCAGACTTAAGCCATAACATCAGTCCTACATTAAATGTAAATGGTCTAAATATACCAATTAAAAGAGACTGACAGAGTGGATTAAAGCACATGACCTAACAAGGTGCTCTCTACACTCCAAGTATAATGATAAAGCAGATTAAGATTAAAAGGGTGGGAAAAGATCCCATGAATGTTATTCAAAAGAAAGTAGAAGCAGCTATATTAATATCAGATAAAGTAGACTTCAGAGGAAAAAAAGTTACCAGACCAGAGAGGAACATAATGATAGAAAAGTCAATCCACCAGGAAGACAACAGCAATACAAAAGGTGTATATATCTACCAAAAGAGCTGCAAAATATGTGAAGCAAAAACTTACAGAACTAAAAGGAGAAACAGACAAATCCACCATTATTACTGGAGACTTCAGTATCCCTGTCTCAACAACTGACAAAACAATTAGACTATCAATATATTCTATTTGCTAAGAATATAGCAAACTCAATTCCATTACCAACAACCAAAAGGATCTAAGTGACATTTCAAGAACACTTCACTCAGTAACCATAGAATACACATTCTTTTCAGTATCCATGGAATATATGCCAAAATATGCCAATGATTTCTTGAACAAATTCCTTACCTAATATCATGATACACAAAATCAGAACTTGTTCTTTATATAAAATATTTTAGAGCTGATGAAACTTAGTTATTAATTTTTTAACATTGTTTTTTTTTTGCCTATTTTCTATATGATATTATTTTTAAGGTTTTTTAGTTTTATTTTAGAGCGAGAGTATGTGAGCAGGGGGGAAGGAAAGAGAGACTCTCAAGCAGGCTGTGCTGAGCATGGAGCCCAACGCAGGGCTCGATCTCATGACTTGAAGATCATGATCTGAGCTGAAATCAAGAGTTGGACGCTCAACTGACTGAGCCCTCCCAGGTGCCCCATAATACTTACATTATTATTGTGAGAATCTTTTGTGAATATTTTCAAGTAAAAGTAATCCTATATCCTCCAGGAATAATTTCTAATGCTTTTAAAACCCAAAGCCACCATTTACTACTATTCTATATTTAATGTCAACCATGTTGATAGACCTCAAATTTTAGAAGAAATGCTTACCAGATCCCATGAGAGCACAAATCAGGACCATGGAATTATATTTGATTTCAGGAGCACTTCTTTCATCTGCTAGCAGTCTGTGTAAAATCTGTACAAGTTTAGCACTTTCTAGATCTTTCTCGGCAGTGCCTAAAATATGAAACAAAGTATCAGTTTTGTTCACTGTTTATGAACCTGGTGCAATGTGGCTAAACACTGATTCCTTTTCTAAAAACTGATCATATAAAACCCTCAAAAAGGGACTGATAAATAACGATGACCTACAAATAGAATATTAAATTCAGACCTTGTTAAGAGTTAAATTTCAGCAGATATTGTAGTTTAAGCTTAAAATTTAGTATTAAAATATTCCTTTTGATATGAGGCAATTCAAAAATCCTTATTATGGAAAAGGTTAAACATATACAAAAGCAGAAAAGATTATATAATGATACACTATTTACTATTATCTTAAAAAATTATGGCCAATCTTGTTTCATCTATCTCTATAGTTTCATTCACCTATTCATCCCAAATTATTTTGGAGCAAATCCTAAAAATGACAGTTTCTTCCATATGTATTTCAGTATGTATCTTTTTTTTTTTTTAAGATTTTATTTATTTATTCAACAGAGAGAGACACAGTGAGAGAGGGGACACAAGCAGGGGCAGAGGGAGAGAGAGAAATGGACTCCCTGCTGAGCAAGGAGTCCGATGCGGAACTCGATCTCAGGACCCTGGGATCATGACCTGAGCCGAAGGCAGACGCTTAACAACTGAGCCACCCACGCACCTCTCAGTATATATCTTTAAGAGATGAAAACTCGTAAGGCAATTCCTATCAAAATCCCAGAGGACTTTCTGTAGAAAATCTGTAAGTTTATACTAAAATTTATATGGAAAGCACAGGCCCTAGAACAGGTAAATAATCTTGATAAAAAAGAAAGAAAGTGGGAAGAATTCTTCTACCCGATGTTAAGGTTCACTGTATAGCACAGTTATCAAGAGTGTGGTACTGGTAGAGAGAGAACTGAATAGAGAACCCCAGAAACAGACCCACACATATATGTTCAAATGATTTTTGACAAAGGTACAGAATCAATTCAGTGGAGGAAAAGATAGCCTCTTCAACAAACAGTACTGGCAATTAGACCTCCACAGGCAAAAAAAAAAAGAAAGTTGACCTAAACCACACACTTTATACAGATCTTAAAGTGGATTACAGACTTAAGTGTAAAATGTAAAACTATAAAACTTCTAGAATAAAGAATTTTCAACTCAATAGTTAAAAAATTAGAAAATGAGCAAAAATTATCCGTAGGTATTTCACCAAAGAATATATACAGATGGCAAATAATGATGAACATCTTTTCATATGCTTACCATTAGAAAAATGGAAAAAAAAACATAATGAGATATCCCTATACAGCTATCAGGGTGGCTAAAATAAAAAATAGTGACAATACCAAATATTTGGTGAAAATGCGGAGAAAACTAGATCACTCATACAGTGCTGGTGGGAATGTAAAATGGTATAGCCATTCTGGAAAACAGTTTGACAGTTTCTTTAAAAATTAAACATATAGTTACCATACAACCTAGCAACTGCACTCCTAAGGCATTTATCCAAAGAAATGAAAATTTATGCTCACATCAAAACCTACGCATGAATATTTATAGCATTTATTTTTAAAAGCCCCAAAGTGGAATAAGCCCAGATGTTTTTTGACAGGAATGGTCAAACAAACTGTGGTATGTACAAACCATGGAACACTATTCAGCAATAAAAAAACAATTGACACGCAAAACAAATCAGATCTCTTTAGGAAATTATGCTGAATTAAGGAAGCCAATCCCAAAAGGTCACATACTATATGATTCCATATATATAACATTTTAGAAATGAAGGACAGATTAGTGGTTTCCAGGGATGAGAAACAAGGTAAGGGGTAGGAGAAGGAGATAGGTGACTAGTGTGGTGATAAATGGAGGGATCCCTGTGGTGTTAAACTATTTAGTATCTTGACCGTGGTGGTCGATACACAAACCTACACGTCCTAAAACTATATAGAACTTAACATACACACAAATGAAAACAAGTAAAACTAGGGAAATCTGAATAAGACTGGTAAGTTGTATCAATAGCTGAAATATTTATAGTTTTGAAAAATGTTACCACTAGGAGAAACTGGGTAATATATACAAGGGATCTCTATATTATTTTTTACAATGGCATGTGAATATACAATTATCTAAAAAAAAAAAAAGACTTAAAAATGTTGCTTTAATACTATTATCATACAAAAAATTTGTAATTCCTTAATATCAAACAGTGTATAAGAAAACAAGACTGGAAAAATATGGTTTTCAAAATGTGTTATGTATTAAAAAGATAGTATGGGCTTATTTTTATATCTTAAGCCCAAGGAGCCTAGGAAACACTAGGAAACAATAAAAAAAAAAATGTAGGTATCGCATTTTATATAGTTGTATGGTGAGGTGACCACACCGAGGCAAATGTTTAGCTATCAGGAAGCTGAGAAATTACAGCTTGTTTGGAAGATACTGGCACAAAACCAGATTCATCCCAGGCTGGGTCATCAAACATATTCTGAAACTGCCCCATCACTTTAAGCCACTTAAAATCAGCCCATGAACCCAGTTTAGTATTCAGTGTCCTCACTGACTCCCACCCCTTTATCATAACTCCCCCTATCTGACCCCCCACGATGGCTGGACTTCTAGGCTGACTCTACGCAAACCATGTGTGAAGTCATGGCTAATCTGGGACCTGAACTGACTTCCAAAGCATTTCTAACTATAGGCCAAAGTCGCTGAGAATAGGCATACATTTTCTTGGAGTCTTTTATCTTTAAAATTCAAAACCCTGTAAGACAAAAATTCAAATCTTTCATACCTAAAATCTGAGTAAATGTGACACTAGAGAAAGATATACCATGTTTATATGTTTATCTTTTGGCTTCCTGGTATAGGGGTTGTGGGTCCACTTGCTGCTGTGTGAGAATTATGGACCTAAATCATCAGTGGGAATTAAGAAGTCATCAGTTAACAGTGTTTACCTAAATGGCTTTGAACTGGACAGGACAGACCTACTAAGTCTATAGTCCTCCTCTGTGTAAGGCAGTCTCAGGCCTTAACCACAGGCTGTGTGACTGATTGGTTCCTGGGACAAAGGTTACTATCCATAAGCTAGATAACTATGAACTAGCTTCTCAAGAAGAATTCTGACCAACAGGGATACTATATGCTAGAAAGACACCAAATGAATTACTGAACTCTGCTTTTGGGGAATTTTGAATGTAAAACACACAGAAGGTGAGAATTTAGAATGAAGGCAATACTAGAGGGCACCAGAAGCCATGGTGATAGAAGGAGATAAGCAAGAGAGAGAGTCAGTAATAGAGATAGAAGACAAGGTCTGGGTCACTGGAAGGGCAGCAGACTAAACTTGCTGCTGTATTCTAAATATAGTTTCATTTCTCTGCGAGGCCTGATGAAATTATTTTCTGTGTTTACTAAGTGCCTATAACTTGAAATAACATTTAAGACTCAAACTCTAAAAAGAGTTAAGCATTGACCTAAAAATGTTACCAAAAGCAAAAGCTGAGGTGGCAATCCATAGAATGTGATTTCTTATATACTTAGCTATAGGTGCAGACACATGCTGGCAAAATGCTTCTAGTCAAGGTTTTGTTGATTTCTATTCCACTCCTGTGCTTCATTTCATCCAAGATAAAAATAGGAGAAAATAAGTTTGACACTGGGGTACTTACCCAACTCTAAAGCTGCTATTAGTGCCAGAGCAACAAGGGCTTCATTCTGCATTATTACATGTTCACTAGTTGCCATGGTAACTAGATGCTTGATGCCACCACTCTGTACAATGGTTTTAATTACATCCTGCAATAAATATCAGAGTTATAAACTTTAATTTTAAACATAAAGAGACTGCATTATAGTCAGTCAATTCATTGTTAAATTGACTGGTTTTCTGAGTGTCCTGTATGAATCATTGCATTTAACCATAATTTTTTTATTCACAGAAGAAAAGGAAAAAGCTTTTAGCTTTAAATAAATTCATCAAAAAATGACAACTTAAATTACCTAAGTGAAAAAGACCACTGCAGTTCATAGCAAGGAATAGAGAGTCCCAGAAACAACCAGTCAAAACAATAAGTGTGATTGCCCCAAATGTTGACTTACCACAGGATCAAAAAAAGAGATTAAGATTTGTAACAACAACAACAACAAAAAAGTTCTTCTTTTCAAATTATTATTACAGCACCAGGTAGTTGTTTTCCAGATGATCAGGTAAAGTTTTTTTTTGTTTTTTTTTTTTAAGCTTTTACCCCTTTGTTGGATCTGACAAAACTGGATTACATGTCAAGGGACTTGAGAGGAACTTAAAATTGTCTCCCTCATTTCTCATGGGACCTGCAGCTCTGTCCTCTTCCATGGCAGAGGAGACAGTGGGTTCCAGATTGAATAAAACCCAGTGCCAACATTGACTAAGCAAACTATTGAAACTCTCTGCATCTCAGTGACCTTATCTTTAATGCTGGGATAATGTGTTATTATAGGTTTTTGTGATGATTACAAAGTTATTACATGAAAAGCACATATAAGAATACATGGCAAAAGTTAGATTTTTTAAAATGCCACATTTATTTCTAGTATTCATTTTTTTTTTTTTAAGATTTTATTTGACAGAGAGAGACACAGCAAGAGAAGGAACACAAGCAAGGTGAGTGAGAGAGGGAGAAGCAGGCTCCCCGCCAAGCAGGGAGACTGATGTGGGGCTCGATCCCGGGAACTGAGATCATGACCTGAGCCGAAGGCAGATGCTTAACGACTGAGCCACCCAGGTGCCCCTTCATTTTTGTTTTTATCTCAGTTTTGTTTCCTAAAAACTCTTGGATTAAATGTGATTTAGTAGAAAGTCTCAATTATAGAATTTTTTAAAGTAATTTTCTTTGTTCTCACTACCTTTAGTAATTTAAGTGCTGGATATTGAGTAGCCTGTCTGCTTTAGCTTTGACAGTAGAAAACTAACTGTAATTATAAATATTTTTCAAATTAATTTGCTAAAATATTTGAAAAGGGGTTTCCTTTATGCTTTTACCTTATATATAATACCTTATATACCTTATATAAATTTTTAAGAAAACTATTTATAGATAGTATCTTTGCTTTGAGCCCAAATGCATTTAAAGATCAAACATTCTAAATTATGGAGTCCTAGTACTGAGTTTTTATGGTGGTTGTATTCTAACTAGCCTTTTACCATTACCCTCTTTTAGTAAGTGAGAAACCGTCTTTTAAAAGGCTTTTCTAACAAAAAGAAAGCCTCCCAATTTACTTGGTGGGCACTTTATTTGAAACTTAAAATTAGTAAAGAATTTTATAAAAATCACAAAGGAGCTTATTGAGTAAAGAAGACCACAAGAGGTTCATAGATACATATGCAGTCACCTAATGAAGGTTCCTGGACCAGCATTTCATCCTTTATTTTGTGATTCACCCTGGAGAGTCCACTGTAGTAGAAGGAGGGGCAGGTAATGAATGAAGAAGGAAACTGCGTATCAGAAGTGAGCAGCTCCCTGTAAGTTCAAGCATAGCTCCTTTACCATCTCTTTTTTATTATTTTATTCTATTCATTTTCTTTATTTATTTAATTTTTATTTTTTATTTTAGAGAGTGCACAAGCAATGGGTTAGGGAGAGAAAGAATCTCAAGCAGACTCCATGCAGACTGCAGAGTCCGACACAGGGCTTGATCTCACAACCCTGAGATCGTGGCCTGTGCCAAAATCAAGAGTCAGATGCTTAACTGACTGAGCCACCCAGGAGCCCCTCCATCTCACTTTTTTGAACATATATTGTAGTAGTGCTTTTTAAAATGCCTGCCCTTTCTTCTCCTACCTCAATAAATGTTTATTGAATAGGTCCTCTATGAAGTTGCTTTGCCTGACAGAATGGAAGACAAAAGACAAATGGAGCATTGCTCTTGTGTTATACTGACAAAAGAGAATAATATTGATAGTTACCCTCTATGGAGCAACAACTGCACACTGGACATTATACTGGGTAGCTTACAGATATTAGCATATTCTTATCCTCACAGAAAATTCCATCAGCTAGGTATCATCTCTAGTTAACAGATGAAGAAACTGAAGCTCAGGTTAAGTTACGAAATCTGTCCAAAGTCAGTGATTAAGTGGTAAAAAAAAAAAAGTCAAGATTCGAATCCAGGCAGTTTGACTATCAGTTCCTTGTTTCTAACCATTTGTGCTCTATACAAAAGTATATGTACTAAATTCATCATAGTGCCATACACAGCTAGGCACAATGTGCTCTACAGAGGCTCTATGAATGTATTTTAAAGTTATAAATTTCAAGATATTTAACAAAAAAGGATATTAGCACCACTCCACAGAGCAAGGTTCATCTGGAGAATTACAAATAATTTTAACCAATATACATCTAAAATTAATCCAGAGAGTTTAACTTTTCTGAAACCATTTCATTTATTAAACTGTAGAAATACACAGGAAGACATTTTTCTGGGTCATCCTTCTAAACCTTAGGTGTATCTGCAAAATCTCCAAAAATTTTGGACATACTTCATAATGTTTTACAAAGTTTTAAATGATGTATTATTTTGCAATCCTATAAGGAGTTTTCTTATGGAAAGCTAAATTTTGGTACATACACAACCAAGGCAAATTATCTATGTAATAGTCTCACATATTTAGCTTTTATGGTCCATTTGCCCTTAATAACTGAGATAATCCAGCTACAAACTTTGTTGAAAACTGTGTAATATTGATTATAATATAATATTCTGAAATAGGCTTAAATTCAAGACAATCAATTTATAACATAGCCACTGAATCACCTAATAAAAATTTTCTTTCCCAACTTTGTACCATCAAAGACTACTTCTCAGTATAGGAATTAAATGTTAGATGTATGAGCGAATGACTAAATTTTGTTTGATCAAGTTTTTAGATTGATAATTGAAGAATGTTTTATTCTTAAAGGATAAAGAAGAGTGCCTATGACAGGAGGGAATTTTTATATTCCTAGTGTAGAAGCAAACCATATTTTTCTGTTTTTGATATCTACAATCAGAAGGTCCAGCTAGTTGCTCAAGAGTCCTAGCCTAGGGCACTCTTTCGAGGGAAGATGTGAATTTACTCTTGGCACAAGTGCAGGAACACACTGTATATGGCTGAGATGACTAAGCTAGTGTGAAACCCCATGAGTCAGTGCAAACTTTCAGAGGGTTGGACTCTAAGAACTCAGGGTGACTTTAAAAGGAATAGGATCTTCAAAGTTTAAAAATAACACAAGGAGAGAACTGTAATTCACAATAGTTGGTTAAGGATCTACAGGAAGGTGACTAACTTGTACCTAGTGTTTAAAAGCTTATTCTAGAGCAGCATTTTCTGAAGTATGTCCAGTGGAATGTATTTAATAGATGCAACTTGCAAAACCCATTGTCCGATAGCTTGGGAATCAGTGGTTATTAAACAGAGTTAAGGACATTTTTTTAGAGTAGTACTAATATGTGCTGTGAATTCCAAAGGCAAGGAAAGGGAATGAACTACTTCCCTAACTAATCTGATCATACAACCTTTTCTCTTTGTGGAATATTTCTTAGGGTTATTATTCAATGGAACATATTCTGAGAACTGCTTTGATTCTCAAAATGAAATCACTGATTCCACTTTAATGTTTGTGAAATTTAAAAATAATTTAAGAGTTCTAATCTGGAGCTCACACAAGGAACACACCTTATGCTCTGATCATTAAAGTATGCAAATCAAGGTTCCTACTGCTGCTTATTAGCAGCAGTATACACTTAATTGTAGGGAAGATATGCAGCAAAACAACAACAAGAAAAACCAAAACAAAACAAAAACCAAAACCCCAGCCTACAGTACTGAACTGTAAACATACAGTTATAATATGACCATGAAGTCACAATTATCATTCAAATTGTATCATTTCAAATTGCTTTTTGTTACACACATACCCCTAGAAAGGTGCAATGTCCTGTTTCCCTTGTCTTTTCAAAACACCTACATGATGATGGATGCTTAATGGGTTCTTGAAAGCTGGGTTGTTTTTGGTGGAGAGAGTAGGGGTTTGGATGAGTGACAGGGAAATCTTGTGATAATTATTAACAGAAAAGCCTCAAAATCCTCAAATCTGAATCTAATATAGCAACTGAACAGCTCCGGCTCCAAGATTTGGTTAAGAAGTTGTGATGCATTTTCCCATGGACATTAAGTGAAATGACCAAAAGGATCACTTTAGAAAACAGGTTATAGAAAAATAAAAGGTATATATTATAGATACTAAATCAGCTGTTAACTTGCTGGCCTGAGTTCCCACCATTGTGATCTTTAAAATAGTTCATTTGCTCATTCATGTGTTCATTCACTCAACAAACAGAGGCTTGCAACCACAAGTCAGACACATACGAGGCTGGACACCCAACTTTGTGAATTCAGAGCATCACATACTACCTAGATATCATTTAATTTCTTAATATCATTAGCTAGCTTGGTCAGTGCCTGGCCCACAGAAGATGTTTGACACTGAGGGTAGTGGTAAAAATAACACCACCAGCAACATTTACAATGACTCCACTTACTGAGTGCTTACTATGTCCCAGGTACCAGTTGAGCACTTTGTATATGTGATCTCATTGAATCATTCTCACAACACTTTCAGTAGGTAGGTATTACACTGAGATACTGAGATGTGAAAGACTTGACCAAGTAAATAGTGGAGATAAAATCTGAACTCATCTCTGATTCCAGAGCCTTACTCTTAACTACTATGGAATAGAACTAAATACAAAAGCTCAATCTTCAATGACTTTTTCAGGATTGTGGATCACAGGCATCCCTCATTTTACTGTGCTTCACTTTACTGTGTTTCAAAGATACTGCATTTTTTACAAATTGAAGGTTTGTGCAACCCTGTGTCAAGTAAGTCTATCAGCACCATTTTCCCAACAGCATTTGCTTACTTCAGGTCTGCATCACATTTTGGTAATTCTCACAAAATTTCAAACTTTTCCATTACTACATTTGTTATGGTGATCTGTGACCAGTGACGACGACTCACTGAAAATGGTTAGCATTTTTTAGCAATAAAGTATATTTTAATTGAGGTATACAAATTATTTTATTAAACATAATGCTATTATTGCACACTTAACAGACTACAGCATAGGGTAAACACAACTTTTATATGCATTAGGAAACCAAAAAATTCATTTGACTCACTTTTTTGCAGTTTTCGCTTTATCACAGTGGTTTGGAACAGAAACTATGAATCTCGGAGGTCTATCTGTAATGTATTTATACGTAAATGTGCAAAATGCAAGCTTATGATATAGGATCTATGATACGGAGTTTCCAAAAAGGCCACTTGTATGTTTTTTAGTGAACAGTTTTCTCTGGAACTTACTTTTGATTTACTGTGTCGTATGAGGGCAGACAGCAGTCTGTTGGACTCCCCCATCACACCAGCATGATCTTTGGCTTCACACCATTCTACCAAACGCTCCACTAATTTAACATTCTTTCCCAGTTGTTCAGCAGCTTCTGCTATAGGAAAGAAGTCAAACCACAAAGGAAACAATCACTGATAGGCAACCAAGTGAAATAACTGGTAAAGATCTAAGAGTGTGAAAGAAAATTATACATATATATATATACACACACACACACACACACATATATGACACAACACAATGATTTTATCAAGCAAGAACTGCAAATACTCCATATCTAATGGACTATTTAGCTTTTTCTACAAAGTTGTGGACTTTCATACAAAACACAAAATACAAAACAATGTTATACTCTTATGGTTCAGCCTGGTAGTCTGTCAGTACTCTGGCAAACTGTAACAAAGGGTATGAGAAGGACTCTGAGAAATCAATATAGAGAAAGGTTTAGAATTTAGAAATAAGTAAATGAACACAATTCATTCCAAGGAGTAGTTTCCATCATTGTTTCTGTAAACAGAAAAATGATCTCCCTATTTGCAAAATAAATTTTTAAAAATTTTGACTGTCCGTGTACCGCAACATGATTTTCAAGACAAGGTAAAAATGGGTATGAAACGGGGCGCCTGGGTGGCTCAGTTGGTTAAGTGTCTGCCCTCGGCTCAGGTCATGATCCTGGGGTCCTGGGATTGAGCCCCGCATCAGGCTCCCTGCTCAGCGGGGAGCCTGCTTTTCCCTCTCCCTCTGTTGCTCCCCCTGCTTGTGCTCTCTCACTCTGTCAAATAAATAAAACCTTAAAAAAAAAAATGGGTATGAAACGCTAAAACATAAAAACCCTTCAGAACTGCTAATAAATCAACATAAAACCAGGATTATATGTACAGTAGAGATGCAATATAATTTCCATTTAAACTCAATTATAACAAGCATGGAAATTAATGAATGAAACTCTAAAACCAATCTCTCTTTGCCTTTTATTTGCCATTTATCTTTATGATTACATGATTCTGAAAGCTAAAAACAAGTCCTTTTCAACTAAGGCAAATTGACTATCATACCAAAAATGTACCTTGTGAAAACATTTCTTTTACCTTGTGCATCTATTAACATTCTTAATGTTCCCAGAAGTTTGAACTGAACCGGAGGCATTTCAGACTTAAGGAATTTCAAAACTGCCTCTGTGACTCCAGCTGATAACATCTTTGCTTTATTTACAACTAGAGAGAAGGAGAGACTATGATTAAAATGGTGCTAGCATTCTTGATGACAGTCATTCAATTCAATATGTATTTATTGTCTTAGTATTTTTAAGGCCCCATGTTACATTTTTCTATTTAAAAACAGTCTTGTTACTTTAAGAATAGGACTGGGGGTGGGGCATAATTATCCTGTTTGTCTATAGGAGCATAACATACTAAATCATATGTACTGGCTTTTTAAACCTACCCTCAAAACACTTAAACAATTTGTAAAGGAAATCTGACAGTTGTCTTCTTACTTACAAAGCAGCATAATTCTTCAGCTTTAGTAAATGTTTCTTTTTACCTCTGTCCTTGACCCAACTGTGTTAATCTAGGGGTTCACAAAAGGTAATAGAATATTTCATCTGAACAAACACAAAGATTATGTTTGGTGAAAACTATTTAACATATGATCTCCATTTATTCGTAAGAAAAATGTAAACAATTTGAAGACTTTTTTTTTTCTTGGTCAGGATAGGTCCACAAATGACATAAAATAAATACCTCCCTAAACAATAGATCTTATTTCTTACATAGTTGCCTACAATTCTTAAGTCCTACCTGGAATGGCCAGATTTCTGAGGGCACTTAATGCTGCATGCTGTACAGTTACATTTCCATCTTCAACATGTCTGTCGAGTAAATCCATAAGTTTTTCTACAATTCCATTGTCTACCATGTGAATACAGTTTCCATCTGAATGAAACAAAAGCATTTTTTTTTCCTTTCCTCTTACAAATATCTATAAATATTTTATAATAGTGATGCCTATCCATTATCTATCTACATTCGGGAAAAATGGAGCTACAAGAAAATAAAATGAATTCCAACTCTTTCTCCCATCAGATTTATAGATTTTTTTTTCTTTACTGAGTAGAAGTCATGACAAGAAAAATCTCTAGCATACAGCCTGATAATATATTAGAAGATGAGTAAGTAGAAACCATAGCTTAAAATGTTTACCAATAGTTTTCACTTAAAGTGAACTATGCCCGAGTTCTGCCAATGTTACAGTGACAACAAAACAGAGTGCTGTCATGGCTGATGTTTAAAATTATTTTTCAATGTCAGAATTTTTGAAACATTTGTAAAGCAGAGAGAATATTATAATGAACCACTCACTATTTATTCCACATTTAGCTTCAATAGTTACCAATATTTTACTATTCTTAATTACATCATTAAGGAGTGAATGATCATCCTCAAAAATAAGGGAGTAAAAATGGAATAAGACATCCATTATAGAGTTACAAAGCTCATAATGGAATAAAATCAAACTAAAAACAAAAAATAACCCATATTTCCTAGTCACAGTCTAAGAATGAGTTTCTAGACTGAATAGCAGGAGTTCCAGACTTCAGAAATGAACATGAAGGTCTGGTGCCTTGGAAATGTTATTAAACCAAATTAAATATTCTACCGGTACTAAACCAGAGGATTACCCACACTTGAGTTTTAGAGGCATAGAAGTATAAATTAAGGCACAATAACCCTACAAAGAATACTCAGATTATTAAATCAAAAAATCACCAGGCAAGAGAGCATATCCTCCCAGATACAATGCATATTAGAATGGGACTCAAATTTAATGATCTATAAAGTGCAGAGTACTCAAAGAAGGACTTCATGATCACTGTTCATGATCTTTAAACTATCAGAACTTAAATTGCACAAAATATGTAATTTGTTAGAAAAATCACTAAGTAGGGGTGCCTGGCTGGTTCAGTCAGTAGAGCATGAGAATCTTGATCTCAGGGTAGGGAGTTCAAGCCCCATGCTGGGAAGTAGAGCTTACTTAAAAAAAAAGTGGGGGGGATCACTAAGTATTTCATCTCTAAAAAATTAAGGTAGTGGTTGGTACACTACATATACTTCTGAACTGTTCCAGTTTTACTGCATGTAATGGCAAAGCAAAAATAAAAAAAATATATAGAACATCCAATTTAAAAAGGATGAAATGACATGCTTACCGTTTCTGGCAAAATTTGCAATTGCCAATGCTCCAGCAAGCTGTAGCTGGTGGTTATTTGATGGAATCCAGGACAGTACCCTTTGAAACACATTACCTTTTCCTCCTTCAAATAATTTCTGCATGGATTCATCTGGAGGTAAATGAAACAAATAGGTAAGAGGAAAAGAATTAAGAGTAACAAATCCATATTCCTATGTGACTATCCAACTGGATACATACTTCACAAATGATAATTCATAGAAGGAAAAATAATGACTCGTTTTATAATAAGCTTTTACTAGAGACTGGACAAAGAGTTTAGGATTTTTCTAGTCTAAGTCCCAAATAACCCGCTAGCTTTCAGTCTTTTGGTGCCACAGCTAACCTACAACAGCTCTTTAAATATTGGAAGATAACAAAGACTCCTCTTTTCCAGGTTCATTATCTCTAGTTCTCTCCATGATGCATTTAACGTTTCAAAATCATCACATCAACAGGATTAAATGAGGCAGGAAAATGAGAAAATGCCTAATATATATAGTGTTCACAAAAGAGACAATACATTTTTAAAAATCTGACAATCATGTTCTTCGATTGACTTACATTCTAACTCACCTCCAAGAAGTAGTAAAACCATTAGATCTGAAGCAGTTTTGAGCTCAGCAATATCATCCTCTTTGTCACTATCCACTTTCTGCTGAACAATCTCTAGTAGACATTCTACCAGGCCTGCTTCAACCAGCTGTAACTTAATAGCATCTAAAGAATATGTGAACAAAATAACCAAAACTTGAGATGAAATAAAAGTTCTGTTAGAAGCAATCCATTATGAAGAATTATAAGAAATAAAGAAAATGCATGATTTAGATAATACACCTTCAAAGATTTGAGTTTCAAAATGAACTGTCTGACGGTGTAGCTTATATACTTTTATTTCATTTTTTACTTGAAATTAGGTCACTTTTTACAATGTCTGGCAGCACCTAAACAAACTGATTCTCAATTTTGAAGGGAAATAATAGCACTCCATTGTTATTCTAGATATCATGCTCATGTTTAAAATACTTACTATAAAACACCCACACCATTTAAAATAAAACACATATGCCTGTTATATAGAGTTAAAATATATCCACTAATGGTGCTTGAATAGAAAGATATTAAAAAGTAGAGCTATTAGTAAATTTCAAACTATACCTTAAGTATATTTGGAATCATATTTGTATAGACGTGATTTTTTCTAAGGCAGTTAATAAATCTAAAACTTTCTGAACTTTAAAACTCATGTTTTTTAAAAGGGCTTCAGGTTTTCATTAATTTGAAGTTTTCCTGGGTGATGGTTACATGGTAGTTCATTATACTATATTCTCTCTACATCTGCGTAGGTTTTAAATTTTCCATACTAAAAGTTGAAAGAAAAAAATAACTGAGCTTTCTGATGGATAACCAGCAACATGAAGGTATTTTAACAGCAAAATTTACATCCCAATTATACTGTTAAAAATTCTCTTCAGAGCAAGCTCTCCTCTTATCAAATCGTTTGTTTGCACCCCTAATAACTTAGATTTTTTTTTATTATAGAACTTATTTCACTGCAGACTTTATATTCATATCCGTATCTGTCTTCCCCATTAGAGTAGGTATTATACCTCTTTCATCTTTGTATTTTAACCTAAACTGGTCTACCTAAATGCTTTGGGTCTATTTTATAGCATTTAAGATAAATGCAGATCAACTGACCTTAGAAACATTTGCTATACAGAAATTATTAAATTTAAATCTTATTTTTTAGTTGGATTTTATTTTAGTCATTGGTTTCCCTACGCTGTATATGTACACATCTACAGCAATGGCAGCTTTAGGCTGTGATTTGGGAGAAACAAAGACCTTTTTATAATTGACATTTTCTTTTAGGCAATTTTAAGATATAAAAATTTAGCCCCACCCCTCCCAACACCAGGACCACTGGTATTCTTTAGAATATTATATCAGAACACACAGAATATTCAACCTGGAATATTTTTTTAAAAGGTACACTTGCACTGTGCCATGCTGAAAGTAGGGCGTTTCCTTGGTTACAGAATGCTAGGGCTAGAATTGAAAGCCATGAGAAAAAGCCTTAAAATTCCTAAAAACCTTGAATTATACAAATCCCAATTTTAATGTCTCCTTTGCATACAAGGAAAACCAAGGATGAACACTAAGGATATTCCAGAAATAACTTTTCAAAAGTATCATTCAATTCATTGCACAATTATAAAACAGAAGTGAAGGTGGTAAAGGAGAAAGCAGATATAAGAAAAACATTGTTATTTTGATATATTGCAAGAAAGGTTACAGGTAATTCTCTGGTATAAAATTGACTGACATAATAAAAATTTCATTTGGCCAAACCACCAAATGAGATGAGAAACAAATTTCTGCCTGAAGAATAAGATCTAAAGCATTTATAAAATTTTAAATGTGTCAAGATTAAAGTTTACAGATCTCTCCTCTCCCAGTTTGACTGTAATCACATATATATGTGGGAGGCTTTAAGTAGCCTTATTAAGAAGGATAAGCAAGGCAGTCTGCCAAAGCAGACAGCCCAGCACACATTTATCAACTCAATTCTGCCCAAGGACATCTGTTTGTATAACCACCACTTGCATATATAGGTAAGTATACATACATATGTATCATATATAAATACATACATCTACTATATCTATGTACATTTATGTATTAAAAGTCTTCTCCAAATGGTGAAAAAAATGCCACAAATGCAGGAAAGTGCATAATATACATATTAGCTTAATCAATTACTATGAAGCAAATAACCATGTAATTTCCACCTAGATCAAGAAATTCATTGCCAGCATCCCAGGGAGCCCCTTTGTGCATTCCCTTTTCCTGTCACATATTTCTCTCTCCATCCCTCTCAAATCACTACCCTGATTTTTATGGTAATCACATTCATACTTTTCCTTATTATTTCACCAAATAAGCATTCCTGAAAACTACAGTTTAATTTTACCTTTTTGAATTTTTATATAAATGGAATCTTACAATACATATTTTTAGTGTTGGCTTTTTTCTATCAATGTTTGTAAGATTCATCTACACCATTGTTAGAGTTGTCTTCACTCCTGTTCATAAGTATAATTTTTTCCATTATATGAGTATACCATTATTTATTCTACTGTTAATGGATATAAGTTGTTTCTAATTTTTCATTTATTAGAGATAAAGCTAAGAACACTTCTGTAATGGTTCCTGGTGCACATGTACATGTTTCTGGGTATATTCTAAGAGCAAAACTGCTGGATCACACAGAATACAATCTCGAACCTGTTTTCCAAATTGTACCAATTTACACACCCACCAGCACTTAATGAGTTTCCACTGCTCCACACCCTCATCAACATTTGGTATTAGACTTTCCGGTGGCTATATAGTGTTTTATTTTGCATCCTGATTATTAATGAGTTAAGCATATTTTCATGTGTTTATTAGCCATTTGGATTTTATCTTTTGTCAAGTGCCTATTTAAATCTTTTATGCATTTTCCCACTGGACTTTCTATATTTTCCTTAATGATTTGTGGGAGTTTTTATAAATTGTATGCATTCTGTTAATTATGTGTGTTGTGAATATCTTCTCTCACACACCGTCTTGCTTTTCACTCTTAATGGTGTTTTTTGGTGTCTTTCATTTTCATTGGAAGTTTTAGCCAAATTTATCAATCTTTTCCTTTATGGTCAGGGATTTTTGTGACCTAAGAAAACTTTCTATAACTCCAAGGCCATGACAATATTCTCCTATCTGATATTTTTAAGGTATGCTTTCTGGTTCTTACTTTCCCATTTAGGTTAATTACCTATCTAAACTTTTTTACATACAGTATGAAGTACGGATGTATATATGTGTCTTCATTTGTATTTTTTCCCATATTCCCAGCACTGTTTATTGAAAAGACTGCTCTTTCCACACTGTTTTGCAGTGACAACTTGTTTTTTTTTCTCCTAATAAAATAAGCACCTATTAATGCATCCATTTGTTTCTCAGGTATCCTGTTCTACTGGTCTTTTCATTCATCCTTGTACCAATACCACACAGTCTTTTAGTTACTACAGTTTTATCAGAATAAAGGTTTTTTTTTTTGATTAATCTTACTAGTGATTTACCAGTTTTATTTAGTCTTTTGGACTCAACTTTGGTGATTATATGCTTATATTGCATTATGTATTTTCTATTTTATTAATCTCAGCTCTTCAGATTTCCTTTCCTCCAAGTATGGCTTTACCTATATCACATAAGATTTAAGATATAATATTGTTTTCATTATTAGAAAATTTTCTTATTTCCAGCATGCCTTGGTGGCTTAACTGGTTGAGCATCTGACTCTTGGTTTCAGTGCAGGTCATGATCTTTGGGTCATGAGATCAAGCCCCGAGACAGGCTCTGCGCTCACAGCAGAGCCTGCTTGAGATTCTCTCCCTTTCCCCCCTTCCACTTGTGTGTGTGCTTGTGCATGTGCACTCTCTCTCTCAAATAAATAAATATAATCTTAAAAAAAAAGAAAATTTTCTAATTTCCATCATGATTCTCCTTTGACCTCTGAAGTACTGGAAATACATTTTTTTAATATCTAAATATAAAGGGATTTCCTAGTTATCTTTTTATTATTATTAGACAAGTCACTTAAGTCAGAGCACATACTCCATAAGATTGCAATCCTTTGGAATTTGTTAACTTTTTATTAAATTTTAAAAATTCAATAGTTAACATATAGTGTATCATTAGTTTCAGAGATAGAGTTCAGTAATTCATCAGTTGCACATAATACCCAGTGTTCATTACATCACATGCCCTCCTTAATGCCCATTACCCAGTTACCCCATCCCTGCACCCACCTCCCCTCCAGCAACCCTCAGTTTGTTTCCTAGAGTTAAGAATCTCTTATGGTTTGTCTCCCTCTCTGATTTCATCTTATTTTATTTTTCCTTCCCTTCCCCTATGTTCATCTGTTTCTTAAATTCCACATATGAGTGAAATCATATAATTCTCTTTCTCTGACAGACTTATTTTGCTCAGCAAAATACCCTCCATTTCCATTCACATTGATGTAAAACTTTTTCATGACTATATGTGTTTTATATATTTCATGTGTACTTAAAAAGAAAGAGCCCTGCAGCTGGGTGCAGTATTCTAAAATATGTCCATTAAATCAATTTTCTTAATCATGTTAATCTTTTCTATAACCCTGTTATTGTTTTATCTGCTTATTTTATCAATTACTGAAAGAGGTATTAAAATCTCCCATGATATTTATTGATTTGTCTATTCTTCTCCATAATTCTGAGTGTTTCTGTTTCATATGTTTTGGGGTAATGCATACTTATAGCTCCCAGGTGAATCAGACCTTTCATCACCTTATCTATTGAGTCTTTTAATCTTAAATTCTATTTTATCTGATATTAAATATAACTATCTCAGTCTTCTTTAAGTTTGAATGATTTATTTATTTATAAAGACTTATTTAGAAACAGTGCGTGTGCATGTACGCAGGAGGGGGGAAAGGGAGGGAGGAAAGGAGGGCAGAGGTAGGAGAGAAGCAGACTCCCCACTGAGCATGGAGCCTGATGTGGGGCTCATCCCAGAACCCAATATCATGACCTGACCCAAAACCAAGAGCCAGATGATCAACTGACTGAGCCACCCAGGCTCCCTCGAGTGATTTTTATTTTTTTAAATCCTTTTATTCTTAACTTAAAATAAATCTCCTTATAATTAACAAGTTTTGTTTGTTTGAAAAATAATAGTTGATTTTTTAAAAATTCAGTTGACAATTGGTCTCTTAATTAAAGGATTTAGGTCAAGTGCTTTTAATATAAGAAATACTATGTCTTAAATCTAGTATATTTTGTATGCCCTATTTGTATCCCCTGTTCCATGTTCCTTTTTCTCTTGTTATTTTGAAGGTGTACTTAAAAAAAAAAAATCTTTCCATTAGTTTGGCAGTTACACATTGTTTTTAAAAATTATTTTAGTAATCAAAGTTGGTGGTGTACCTTCTCAGTTTTTACTCTGAAAAAATCTTTATTTTGCCTTTAGTTTTTTTAAGATTTTATTTATTTATTTGACAGAGAGAGAGTGTGTGTGTGAGAACATGAAAGGGGGGGGATAGGGGCAGAGGGCGAGGGAGAAGCAGACTTGCTGCTGGGCAGGGAGCCTGATGCGGGGCTTGATCCCAGGACCCCGGGATCATGACCTGAGCTGAAGGCAGACGCTTAACCAACTGAGCCACCCAAGTGCCCTTGTCTTTAGTTTTGAAGGATGTTTTCATGGGGTTTAGAAATCTAGGTTGGCATTTTTTTTTTCAGCACATAGATGTTTCATCGCCATCTGGATTTCATTGTTGTGCTAGAAGATAAGCAATCAGCCAAACTGTCACCCTTTTTAAGATAATCTATTTTTTTCCAGGCTGTTTTTAAGATTTTTGTCATTAGTTTCCTGTCATTTCAAGATAATATATCTAGATATAAATTTCTTTTTATCAGGTTTTAGAATCATTTGGATTTTTGAATATTTGTTATCTTACATTAATAATTTCTGGTAAATTCTCTGTCAAAATTTAAAAAAATATTGCCTCTGCTACCCCCACCACTTTTTGGAACTCCAAAAAACGTATGTGAGAGCTTCTCACTGTACCCTCTGTACTTCTTATTCTCTTTTTACGTATATTGGTTTTTTCCTCTCTTTATACTTCGTTCTGGATTTTCTTCCAGTCTATCTTCCTGTTCACTAGTTCTCTAAGATGACTATATTTGATCTAAATCCATCCATTAGGTTCTTATTTTGGGTTGTACTTTTTTCAATTCAGTAATTTCCAATTGTTTCTTTTTCAAATCTGCTATGTCACTTTTTATAGTTTCTAGTTTCCTTATACATTTTTCAAGCTTCCCTATAACTATTTGAATATAATAGCATACCTATATTGAGTCAATGTCTAATAATTCTAATATCTGGAGATTTGCTGTTGTTGCCTGTTCTTTGTGCTGGTTCTTGCTTACAATCGTCTGGTCTCCTCATTTATCTGGTCCTTACTGATTATGTGCTAGACACTGTATCTGAAAAATTATTTATATGGGATGGTTTGTTTACTCTGGTTCACTCTTATTCCTATGGTGTATCCCTTTAGGTTTTTTATCAAAGATAGGAATAGTTTACCAGTGTCCACACTGTTCCTTTGCCCTGCAAGGCTTCATAAGTGAAGTTCAGCCTCTCAGGTGCCTTTTCCAGATGGGCATAAAACTGTGTAAGCTACAGAATCATGTTTTTGCCAAGACTTTAAAATCAAAGGAACTGGGAAAGTAGCTTTGACAAATGTAGATATAGTTACAAAGTAGATAATGTAGCTGAAGTTATAGACACCCAAAGTAAAACATCACATCATTAATAAAGCAAAGAAGGCTTCTGAGTTAAATAACTGGCAATTAAGTAATATTAGGAAAAATGGAAAAAGCATACATGATAAAAAATCAAGAGGTGCATTTATTTTCTCACCATTTTCTGCCAATGGAGCAAGAACTTCAAAAATCATTTCCCTTTTATCATGTTCTATTTGTTTCTTGAAGAGTCTTACCAGCTCTTCAGCAATGTTTGTACTGGCAAACTGTTCTTTACTTGACTCTGCAAAACAGGAGAGATAACCTTAGAGTAAACACACAAAATTAAATGCAGAAATTGTATTCTATTACTTTCAATACATGCTCATTTTGTACCATTACTGATAAATACAAATACTCTTCAAGTACAGGAACTATCAGATACATCTTAAATGCTCCTGAAAAGGAAAAATGACCTTAAAGAAAACATTCCAACCCAGTTTTATTCAACACTATAAAAAAATGTTCACTAGCATAACATATAGGTAACCATAGCAACAATTAAATTACTAAGTTATAAATTCATAGTTTCAACGCTTTTAGTCAAAGAAGAAAAACTGCTCATAACAGACTGCATTTTACGAGGCTGAAGTAAAGATGACTTATCATCATGTTTAGATCATTAAAATGGTATGCTCTTGCGCTGGTCCTGACATGCCTACTATTAAAGGTCAATTCTTCACATGTACGTGGGGTCTCATTCCCTCCTCCCTCTCCAGCATTTCTAATCTCTCCTCACTCTGGGGCCCACCATCAGCATTTAAATATGCTCTAATATTTCTCACACAAAAAAGCAGTATTAAAAACAACTTTCTCGGAGCACCTGGGTGGCTCAGTTGGTTGAGCCTCCAACTCTTGGTTTGGTCTCAGGTCATGATCTCATGGGTCGTGGGATTCGGTGCCCCCAACGGAAATCCATGCTCAGCAAGGAGTCTGCCTGAAGATTCTCTCCCTCTCCCCCTACTCATTCTTGTGTGCTCAAATAATCTTTAAAAACAATAAAAATAAAAACTATCTTCTACTTTACTTTTCTTCAACCACCATCCAATCTCTGTTCAGTTTCACAAGTTTCTTGCTAGCACCATCTACATATACTGTCTCTACTTTCTCAATTCATCTGCATTTTTTTTTTAATATTTTATTTAAAAGAGAAAGAGAGAGTGAGAGAGAGAGCACAAGCAGGGGGAGCAGCAGAGGGAGAGGGAGAAGCAGGCTCCCTACGGAGCAAGGAGCCCGATGTGGGACTCGATCCCAGGACCTCGGGATCATGACCCGAGCCGAAGGCAGACGCTCAATTAAACCCACTTCAAACTAATTTTGGCCCTCCTGCTCCTCCCCTTCTACCAGACCCCTGTAAATTCCAGTTCCTTGGGACTTGATCCTTTTCTTTCTTATCTTTTTGGTCCTTACTCTCATTCCAGACAATCTAATTCTCTTCCATAGCAACAAAACAGCATCCATACATTGATCCTTGTACAATCCTATCTCTAGCCTTCTTCTGTACTTCAAGCTACTTATTTAACTGGCCACCTGACATCTCCATGTGAATATCCCCCTCTCGTATCCAGACTCAATGTCTAAAATTAGGACTTTCAGTATTACCTGAAATCTGTTTCTCTTCCAGAGTTCCTTTACTTCCTTTACTTGGTAAATGAACAGTCCATCTATCCATCTATGCAGGAAGAAACCTAGCAGTCATTGATCACTTGTTCTCATTCAACTTTATCTCCAGTGAATTACCAAACTCTACCAATTTGCCTCCAAAATACAACTGGAATCCATTCCATTTCTCTCCAGTTATCTTCTTAATTTCTTTTGCTGCCTCAGATGTCCTAATAATTTATCCAGAATTTTCAGAGAATTCCGACTAAACCCAATCTAGCTGACATCCTAGAATTTTTTATCATTATCTTGCTAGATACTTTCCTTCCAGTATTACTCTATTATCTACATCCTTTTGCTTTCACTTGTTTTGATTTGGTATAAGCATCTTCCAAATCCACTCCCTATAATAGGTATAGGAGGCAAATATTTTAAAATCTTGACTGTCTGAAAATGCTTTATCTCACCTAGAGTTTATGCCTCCAATTAGTCCCTCATCTCATTCCATTACTTTCTCATACTAGCAATTATCACAATTTATAACTATATGATTGTTTGTAAATTTGTTTAAAATGTTTCCATCTCACCCACTAAGCCATAAGCTCCTTCTTGAGGGCAAGGACAGTGCTTATTAACTACCACTAACATTGTGTACAGTATACTGCTATACACAGCAGGTGTCCAAAATAATGCCTGATTGAATGTGTGACTGAATGAACAATTAAATAAATACAAGAGGTAGGTTCTGCTCTCTAGTTTCAACCTCTGCTGATATCAAATAAATGTTCAACCAACTGAGATACCCAGGTACCTCTAAAGTTATTTTTATCAAAATTATACATGAGCTTAAAGAGATACTTAGTTCTAATACTTATATTACAAGAATCCAGTCTCCTTCTCCCATTTTTCCCTCTCAGAAGCCAAGCACATAAAGCTCTTTTAGCTAAGTCATTGGTATTTACCTCCATATTTTTAAATGGTTGAAACTAGAGAGCAGAACCTACCTCTTGTATTGGGGGAGGAGGTAGGTTCTACTCTCTAGTTTAAACCTCTGCTGGTATCAAATAAAAAATACTGCAAATTCAACTTTAAAAGAGAAAGGAGAAACACAAATCTTAACATGGCTTCATAGTTTTGATTCACTTCTCTTATTACACTGCTTTCAGTGCCTGCATCAGATCTATGCCAAAATGATGAAAATCTACCCCAAAACTTTATGATTCCTTCGTGCCATAAAAAAGAAGTAGGAGTGGAGTGTCTTTTCCAATAAGCTACCTAAACCCTCAGAGATCATATTCTACACGTCAGCACACCTTACCCTATAAAGTGAGTTTGATATAAATAGGGATGATTTAAGTCCTGAGCACTGTTGGTTGCTCCTTTGCTTCAGAGAGTTCTTCAAATGCAAAGAATTTCAGGAACATAAAAGCATAGGTGAAGTAGACAGACATCAACATTTATCTATGTGCTCGCATTCTTTTTAAAAATAATAGTGTTTGTTTTCCAATCCACATTCTACACCTTCAAACACTTAATAAACTAAAACCAAATCATTCCTGCTAAGTAATTCAGGCCATTTGCCACCACAAGGAAACAATGCATTATGATTAATACACATGTTAAAGAACAAGATCTGTATTTATCCTGCAGGTGGATACAGAGAAAAAGCAGCATGAAGTATGATTTGAATCAAATGTCATGGATGCTTAACACACCTTTAGCAAGAACCTTCATTTTCTAAAGTTTTTTTTTTTTTTTTTAGATTTATTTATTTTAGAGATACAGAGTGAGAGAGAGAATACAAGAGGGGGGAGGGTCAGAGGGAAGAGACTCCCTACTGAGCAGGAAGCCTGATTCAGGAGGGCTGGATCCTGGGATTACTGGATCATGACCCGAGCTGAAGACAAATGTTCAACCAACTGAGACACCCAGGTACCTCTAAAATTATTTTTATCAAAATTATACATGAGCTTAAAGAAATACTTAGTTCTAATACTTATATTATCAGAAGAATCCAGTCTCCTTCTATTTTTCCTTCTCAGAAGTCAAGCACATAAAGCTCTTTTAGCTAAGTCACTGGTATTTACCTCCATATTTTTAAATAACATATTTGTATTGACACTTTTTGAAGTATTTTTGACTTTCCAATATAAACAATTAGGCCTTAGCTTTCTCTTATTTCCCTCTACCAAAGCCTTCATCTTCTCAATATAATTATAATTTTGGTTATATCAATAATTAGTGTTTTAATAATACAGTATTTCACTTTCCCTAGAACTATTTTTTGTTCCTCTGGGATTAATTTTTTTTTCATTTGCTTAGTTTTCTATGTACTTATCATTAATTCAGCTCCAAACTCCAAACTGTTGATCAGCTGTCTGATCTTCTCTTAAGCAGCTCACTTTAGGTAATAATCAATTTCATCTCCTCCAAGAATTACCCTAACCCCAACTCTAGCAGCCTCTGACTTGTTCCAATCTGGACTAGTTGGTCTTTGAAAACAGGCCATTTGGGGCTCTCATGTCACCATCCTATTAGGAATTCTTCTTTTCCTGTTGGATCTCTTGTCTCCTGATTTCTATGTAGTCTTCTTTCTTAATTTAAATCCTTTGCTTTGGTGGAACACATCTTCCAGTGGCTTCCAGAAAGATATGTAGGTTATTAATTTTCTGAGATGTTCATGTTTGATAATGTCTTTATTATAACTTCACACTTGTTTGACAGTTTGATTTGGTATAGAATTCTATATTGGAAATAGTTTTCCCTCCAGTTTTTGAAGGCGGTACTTTATTTTCTTCTGGCTGCCAGTGTTTTGAGACATCTAATGTCTACATATTCACAGTTTTTTGTATGCAACTTTTTGTCCTCTAAGTTTGTAAGATGTTCTTTGCCCTATTTTAAAATTTCAAACAGATGTGCCATGATCTGGGTCTATTTTCATCCATTAGGCTAGGCATTTGACAGACCCAATCATGCAAAATTATGTACTTTAGTTCTGTGATACTTAAGTTATTCAGCAATGGTCTGCTTATCTATTTCTAAAACTTTTGGCCTAATTCTCTATCTGTATTTTCTCTTCTATTTTCTATCCCTCTCTTGTTTTTTGCTTTACTTCTGCAACTATTTCTCCAAACAACTGTCTTTCATTTTAGCTACTGTGCTTTTAATGTTTAAGATTTTTTGTTCTGTTCCTCTTTAAAAATAGCATCCTTACAATTTCACACTTCCAGTATTTTTTCTCACCTACCTGAGTATATTTGCCTTTTCCTCAACCTGCATGGGGTTTCTATTTCCTCCAAATTGTTTTTTCTATTTATTTCACCACCTTTGATGTTAGAAGCTATCCTTACCTCTCTAATTGTCTATATATTGATTACAAATTGGGATTTAAGTTGGCTGGGAAGATGGTAGAGTAAGAAGGCCCTAACCTTGTCCTGTCCAATGGATACAACTAGATAATACCCATATCAGCATAAATAACCAAGGAAATGACCTGAAGACTGCAGAACAAACTCTACAACTAAAGGCAGAGAAAAGGTCACATCAAAGACGGTAGGAAGGTGATCTGGGAGTGAAACAAACTGTGGCTGTCCATGGTGGGGAGTGTGCCGATGGCGCAGAGAAGGGCAGAACACAGACTTT